GTGTGCCTCATGGCTCGTTTCTCGTCCATACGAACTGCACCTGATGAATTTTTTTGTTTCTCTTTTTTTGTGTTTTGTTGTTGTTGTTTTATTTTTCGCGGTTTCCCTGCTGCTGCTCCTAAACCTTCCCTATTCTGCAACGGAATCAAAATGACAGTGTCGGCGGCGATGAGCTTCGAAGATTGAACGCCTCTTTTGCGTTTTTGTTTTCCCCCACTTTTTTTTTTTGTGTCCTAGTGTGTTACTCTTCAATCCCCTTGAGTTGTTGTTGCAGTACGTACGTGTTTTCCATGTGCGTGGAAATGCTTAGGGGTTTTGTTACTTATTGCTTTTGGACGACGCAATCAAAAGACTGCTTTGTTGGGGTTTTGTGTGTGTGTGACATGATCATCTTTCCGATAAGGAGGTGGATGGGAACGTTGAACGGATGCACATGCCCGAACGAATTTTAAAATATAAGTTTCATCTAAGGGCTTTATAACCGTGTTCCCTTTTAAAAATTGAAATTTTCTGCAAGGGTGTGTCTTCTAACGGTGAAACTGTACTGTCGGTACATTTTTAAAGTATTGTTGAAGGGGGAGAAATTGCAGAATTGAGTTGCTGAACTTTATTGCATCCTTATAATTTTTAAAATGATCTACAACACATTTTTGCCAACAATTTGCAGCACATTTGAGTTAGTCTTGTCTCTGGATGACTTGAATTATGAGATAAATTATGTTTTAAACTAGGATAAATTTTAGAACTTTTATAGAAGCCAATAGCATTTATTACTGTATTTACTGAAGTACCATGTGCCCTCAAGTGAGGAGTGCACCAGAAGTTTTCAATTTGAATTTTTTTTTTAAAGATTGTATCCCCAATACATTACTTAGATGAAAAATAGTCAATGCAATTTTGATGGAACTTGAAAGAATTGAGGCAATGATTAATATAATTTATAACTTTTGTGCAGCAATTTCCCCCACCCCAATGACAGTGCTGATCCACGTTCCTGCATCTAAATTTCTTGTCTGGAAAGATATTCATGTTGCACACTACTGTGCAGCTGCTGAATTCATTCCTTGTCGCGGGATTCAATATTAGGACATTGAAACTAACAAAGAGGCATAATCTTAAATGATTTCGGACAAGGTTCTATCCTGTGTTTACGTCTTATCGCAAGTTCAATTGGGACCTTTCGATCTATTAAAACAGGTTTTGACTCAAACTAGTTCAAACCGGGTCAAACATGATCAATTTAGTGCTGGAGTACCAATTAAAATCGTGCTTAAATCGAGCTGTAAGTTGCATTTAAAATGTGACAGTTTTTTTCTGATATTGTAAAACATAAGAGAACTAGTTTCTTTGCAGGTTGAGAGGTTTAATCGGCAGCTGAATTTTATTTATGCTCTTTTTGCGTGACGATTGAATGAATTCAAAGCTGCTGAGTCCAACAATTGTTTCTATGGAGGGCGCCATTTGTGCTCACAAAATCCACTTCTTTTTCAGACTCATCTTGAATTTCGTGTATTTCGGCTTTTTGATCTTAAATTCTTGTTTGTAAGTTGCATTCTTTTTTGGTGGAAGCTTAAGGAAAAACTATCTGGAACTTTGGAATCAGTTTCTTAGACAAGGAAGTTGGTTTTGTGAGCGCAATGATGAAGAGCCTTCCTTTTTTTTAATCACGATGATGAAGGAGTTTCTCTTGATCTCTTCCCTTTTTGAATCCCCCATTTCTTGGTGAGGAAAATTTTTTGTGGATTGACTCGAATTTGGTTGGAATTTTTTTTGGAACAGTATTATCAGGAAACCGAGTCGAGTTTGTGTTTCTTCTTCTTGTTTGAGCTTAATTTGTTGAGTGTTCAAAGAAAGGTTTTGAAGGGATATAAAAAAACTTTTTCTGTCCGGCACCGCGGTATTCTTCGCGTGATCAAAGGTATTTTTCTGTAGTTTTCCCGAGTGCCATTTTTTTGGGTTTCGCCGGAAGGATTCCTTTTTTTTGGGTTTTGTTTCCAGACTCGTTTTTTTTTATGACAGTAACCCCGGGGAAAAAAAGGTGGGAGAGGATTGTTGAGCTTTTACTAGTCACGAGGCCTGCAAAAAAGGGATTACGTTCTTGTTTCCGTCGCGAGATTCATCGAAGATTTGTAGTCACGTTCACGAGCTCTGCCTAATTGATCGGATTTTGCAGCAGTATTAGGAAGAAACGTGATAACGTTTGGGTTTGCGTGCCGTATATGTTCCTTTTGCTCAGATCTTTTCTTTTTTTTTTCTCTCGCCACACAAGGTTGTTAGGGCTGGTGTAAAGCGTGTTTTTTTTTGTGTCTCATAATTTCTGGTGACCCCCCGTGCCTCGAAAGAGCGAGAGATTGAGCTTGACCCCGTGTCGTTTCTTTTGAGTTTTTTTTTGGCAAAACGAGGGAAAGGCGAGCCATGTGAAACGGAAAGGTTTTTATTCGACAAAAATTTTTGATGACTGGCAGCGCGCTTCCGATCGATAAGGTATATAACTGGGAGACTCAAACAGAGGTGCGAAGGGCTTATATTTTTTTGAGCCTGATTCCCTCCAATGGTGTCACCGAAAAACAGGAGAGATGAGATGATTTTAGCCAGAGTATTTGTTTTTACCCCCAACCCCCGATCATTTTGTGCTGTTTTTATTGCTTGCGGACTTTTTGCCGGGTTGTTATGTACTTTATTGTCAAACCCTGTTAATTTGCCCACATTTTGAAACTAATCATTAATTTCGGAAAACAAATGATTATTGATCATGAAAGCATTGGAAATATGAGTTGAAGCGCCATCCGCCAAAATTATTGAAAACTGAAGTCTGCTCCTGCAAATTACTTTTGTGTTCGATTCGTACGTGATTTCTGTGGCAAAACTCTAAAACCTACGTTATAACTGTAAAAAAAAATCTGTAACTCTACAAATGTCTGAAGTCTTCTTACTTTTAGTTGGAAACGTGCAATTCCGTGTCTATCTCTTTACAGGCCCAGTGTTTTATTTCTAAATGTCATTCAATATCCGTTTCTTCTGTGCGGATTCCGCCAGAAAATTCACAGAAAACTGAAAGTGAGAGAGATGAATTCAAATGGTCTAAAATAATCATGGACCGTAAATATTATGCTCAATTTGCCAATTTGAATCCATCCTGAGGCTGGAAACATGAATTGGAGTATGAAGCTAATTGGTACTTTCTTCTCTTGTCTTGATTGCTCTTATTCTTATTTGTCTTGAAACATAACGTATTCGTTTCTTGTCCGGTATTTTTTCTGGAGATTGAGGTATGCTGTTGCATTGTATAACTGAACAACTTGTTAGAAGCGGATGCAGTACTGCAAAGCAAGGAAAGATGGTTTCTTTGGATATCACATGTCAATATATCTTGAAATGTGATTATTTTTGGCTTTATTTGATTACTTCATGCAGCAAGTCCGCAAGCAATGTCTGCACAAAGTGTTCGCTTTTGTTGCTTTTTGTCTTCTGTGTACAGCGCAACGGGGCATTACGCGACTCAGAAGTGTCATTTGCCCGGTTGGTGCCGCGGGTTCATTTCGCCTCTGGGCACGTTTCCGGAGCGTCATCGAAAGACAAGACTGGTTTCCATCCGAGGAAGAACCATTTTGAATATTTCTCTAAATAAAAATGAAAAGAGTCTCCCCTTTTCCGGTTGGTTTCCTACCTTTTTTTTTGGGAAAAGTTTAGCGTCGCGTGCGTGAAGTGTTACTACTCACTGGAAAAAATGTTTTTTTCGGTGGAGAGAAAGAGAGCATTAATGAAACTTGTTTATAGAAATGTTGAAAAAAAGAAGCAACGTGTTCCTGTCTGAACGAACGAAGGAAGTGAAATGATGCAAAATCATCTGGTCTTTTATTCATTTTTGGGACATCTAGTTCCACACATATACAATTTTAGGTTTTGCGTGTATGCCAGGCTTGGACAGGTGTCGCCAGGAAGCAATGTAATGCATAAGCCAAGTTTCTCATTTGTACATGAATTTATTTTATGGTATAATTCTAACAAAGTCAGTTAGATTCCGATGTGTTCTCACTCCTTGGATGTGATAGAACCTGCTTGATTACACCCAGAAATGATTTTTTAAAATTCTGCTTGGCTATTTGAAATCGATTTTACTTCATCATAGCTTCACAAAGCAAAAATGTTGTTCTTTCTGACATTTTTAAAACATTTGTATTGCACATTAACTGATGCATGGGATTTTCTCTACAGAACAGAAGCACGACTATTCTCTTGAGTTCACATCACACATGCTTTCTGTTCCTGCCCCGACCTCAGGAGTGTTTCCTGTTCTGCTGATGAACTTTTACTCACAGGTGCAATGCTATCAAAGCCATGTTTTCAGTTGTATCCCTTGCAACTGGTTTGAACATTTTTTTCAAATAAAGCTTTCATTTGGAAAATTAATTAACCAGAAATAAGTTTTTTCAGTAAATTTTTATGAATGCAGCATAAAATCGTCACTTCAAATATTTGTGCTGCAATGATTGTAAAATTGTGATTAGGTTTATATTTCAATAGTAAAAAATGCATGAACATATTCTGGCCATAAAAAAAATTAGCCTAGTTTTCCATGGCCATTCTGATGGACTGCCTTCTTCACAGAGGATACTTGGGATGAGAATGTAACCGTGAAATACCCAGAGGTAAAACTTGCAGTTAATGTATTGTTCATTTCAAAAACTCTGAAGGAGAAGCTAGGCAACACAAAAAAATCTGCAATGTGGGTGGGTACCTAATCTTTTGAGTGAAGAGCAGAAAGCTGTCAAGGTGGATTTTTCAAACATTTTCTGCATAATGCAGGCAGATCTCAATGCTTATTCTTGTGCCAAAAAATGTTTCTTCTGAAAATAATCTCTCTTCAGCTCAATTGTATTCCATTTAAAATTCATTCCTCAAACTTCTGTTGGCCCTTGTAGATACAGAACCAGCCATTGAAATCATGATCATCAACTGGAAGTCTTGAACACAACCAAAGTAAAGCCATGCATACTGGATTGTACCTCTGAAAACCAAACTTTTATTTTCTCCCACTCATTTTCCTGTTCAAAAATTCTCACCCAGATTTCTAATTCCTCACCAAAATTCTATAGACGTGTTCCTGAACACAAGCTCTTTACATACAGTCGCATTGTAAAAGAAAACAATAATAAGCCAAGACGTGATATTTCACCAAGAGGAGAGAACAAAAATAAGAATCGCAGCCTCTGTTTGTGAAAGACTAATTCAACGCTCAACACTTATACACACAAAAAAGAAAGAAAATTATACAAGGGGCAAATACGGTACAAGAAAACTCGTCTGCCTTCAGCAAAACTTTTCCTTGTCCGGAATGGAGGCAAGTGAGTATTCAGGCGCAGACGGATTGAGCGGAGCCATTTCCATGTTGTTGCTGGAGCCTGTGTCGAGCTCGAGGGCCAAGTCAGACATGAATTCCGAAAATACGAAGGAATTGAGGTTCCGATCGAGACTCGACAAGAGGAACCAATCGCCGAACTGACACTTGCGAATCACTGCATCAACTTCGCTCTTGGTGTTGAACCGAGCACGACGAGACAAGAGAGAATGGCGAAACAAGGGGCTTCCCAGGGTGGCAAATCGGTGCACAAGCTGCAAACCCGTGATGACGGCCAGGATCACGAACCAGAACCAGATGAACAGGAAGATCTTCTCATTGATGATGTTCAGGGCGAGAACACAAAGCGCGTCGTGTTGCTGGATGCTGCCTGAAGGTCCGTACATGTGGAATGTACACTTGGTCACCCTGCAAAATATGATCAATTCATATAGCTTGAGTGTATACAAATAGACGATCATTCAAAGAGGATTGTCCCAGTTGTAAGCAACCTACAATATTTTTAAGAGTAGACGTGTGATCATAGAAAAAATGACAGGGACCATGATGTTCTAAGGTTTTGGGATTTTTTGGATTTAAAAAATTTTTGAGACTTCTACTGCATGATGATAAGTTAAAAAGTTTTCAGCATGGATTCACCACCCATGTCAACAGGTGCTAAAAAAAAAGCAAGGCAAGCTAAAAATGGAATTTTTTGATTACCCAGTATTTTTCCTATATTTTGAATAATTGTTAAAACAACAAATAATTCAATTTGTTATGCTTGCCTGCAATTATTTTCTGCATCTTGAATTTGATGGAACATTTCAAGCATTTTTCATAGACTTCTTCATAATTTCTGATAAACAGGATGACCAATTGAATACAATAAATTCTTGTTACAGGAAATACAAATGCAACAAAATTTTCAAATCAACAAACTTTTTTCATGTCATGGCAGATAAAGCCCATAGATTACATGTTGTAAGTAATATTGTTATAACAAAGTTCCCAATTCCAGGGAAACAATTTTTTTAAAAGAAATGTTCAATACATTCTCCAGGTACAAATTTCTTGACTGAGGCAGGTACAGTCTGAAATTTTTGATCTCAAATACTGTGTAACTGAGTGATTTTTGCAACATGAATAGAAACTGTGATCAATAACAAACATGACTTCCAAGTGGTTCTACACAGGATCCCCGCACAACAAAAGATATTTTCACATCATCCCCCAGAATGAAGAGATTAATGCAACTGATGGAATGCATGATTGAAGCTAATTCCCAACCCCCTCCCTCCCCCCACAAGATCACTTCATTAAAAAAAAACCCTAATAACGAATTTGGAACAGAAAAAATCAAGATGTAATTGTTTATAGGCAGGCCACATGCAAAAAAAATTTCCGTCACTAATTTCTCTGAAAGTCCCCAAAAGTTCATTGTACTGTATTGTGATTTTAATGCATTTATTGAAGTCCATGGGAAAACGTGATCCGACCTAAGGATAAGTTCTAAGCACAAATTATAAGGGCAAACCGGGGCCCCACTATTAATAAAAAAAAATGAACACAGGTTTTCCTGAAGTCTGCACGAACCTTGGGAAGACTTTAACCATGGGATCAACTCGGGATTCCAGGGGTTGCCGCAAAAAACTGACGGCTTCAGATCCGTAAGTTGTGAACTGATAGCCGAGAAATTTGTCAGTGAAGTAAATATTGCCAATGACGTTGACAAAGTTGAGGATTTCGCAGAAGACAAACTTGAAACTCCAGGAATTGTGTCCATGAAGATTCTGGATGAAATAGTCACCCAATATCTTCTCCTTTTTCTTCCTTTCTTCCTCCTTCAGGATCATTGACGTGCTATCTAGGCCCTGCACAATGCACTTCATTTTTCCTGAAACAAAAATTCCATTGTACAATGCTTTGAAAGAAAATTTTAAAACCAAGAATGTATGAAAAATTCTTATCCTGGTACAGTATTTGACTTTTGCAAAAATTCCTGTAGCTATTTTGTAAGCAAAATTCCATCAATACAAAAATGAAAAAAAATTTGAAATTTTTTATTGAACTTTGAAATTCCCTGATTTGATATTTATTTCTAATGACTCTAACGTATACACATAAAAAAGAAAAGGCATTTAAAAGTTGGAGGCTGCATAAAAAACGGCAAAATTCATGAAAAGTGAAAAAAATAATAATAGTGGGACCCTGACATGTGGACAACTCAAAACGGATAATTCGAATTAGGTACACATTAATCATAACAAATGTGCACAAACATCCAGACTATATCCTAAGATTCAGACATTTCTTCAATATTTCCATAAAAAATTATTGGAAAAATCTTTTTTTTAAATTTGAAATCTCCAACAAATCGAGGTACAGGACTTATATTCACAAAAACTAAAAATAATTCATATTTTACAATTATTCCAAATCAGGCTAATTTTGTGCTTTTTTCAGAGTTCTTTCCATGTGTTCTCAGCATAGCTATGGACTTGTTCATGTTCTTTGCTTCTGGAGCTCCTTCTCATGCCAAAATACCAGATTCTGTATAGGTTTTTTCAATACGGTTACTCTCTGTATCTTGAAGTTAAGTAAAAAGATGTTCATTCAATGTTTTGTGGACTCCATTCTTAATTTTTGATGAACAGGAGAACCAAATGATTATTTTTGGTTGAATTCTATGGGAAAACGTGATCCAACAAATAGAGACAAGGTCCAAGCACCAATTATGTCCACATCTCGGGGCTCCGCTATTCTCTGTCAAGACCAAAATGACAAAATAGGAAGAAAAAAAAGACAAATCCATCAAAATCACCATTGTCAACAAGACGCCAAATGTAGTGGGGTCCGTAGAACAGCAACGCTTGCAGGAACAGAAAGAATGGCACCCATTGGTAGTATGCGTGGTAGTGGGTATCGTAGTCAGTCGGGTTCCCTAGACCCGGGTGAGGTGCACCCTCGCCAACCTTCGCAGTCCAATACATGGGGATTGAGAAGGTAGACGAAATCCAGCAGTACATATTTATGGTTTGCTCCGGAATCTTTGAACCGCCCAACATGCAATTGATGGGGTTCCCTGCATACAGAAGAACCCAAAAAACATACACATAAATATAACATTGAAATGTTAATCAGCGAAAAATAGCGTCTGCTCGTGAGAATTAAAGCTACGTTTCGTGCAGAAAAAAATTTTTTCGTTTCACTCTCCTACGACCCCCGAACACCAATGGGAAACTTTTCGAAGAGCATCGTCAATTTGCGCTGATAGATGTTGCTCATTCATCACATAAGTGAGTATTACGAACACCCGTTGGTCAAAGTATACTGTAACTCATTTTTCTCTTTCTCCAGTTTAATTAATTTTTCTTTGAAAAGTGAACTAAGCCATATTTCAATTTGGGCAGCCGAGAAGCCTCATAATGCGGCACTAGAAGAGTAGCAGTCGTCCGTCATGTTCGCGTACAGCTGCAACAACTGATTTATAAAAAATTTGACTGAATCAACCCAACCCTTGAAAAAACGTTAGCCTATCTGAATTTAAAACGAGCATGATACATTGCAAGATAAAAAAGCACCCAAGCGTTGAATTCGAGACCTACAAGGAATTAATTGTACACACTGCGGATGGCACATTCATTAAATATACAAATAGAATGAGGTGAATTCCACACGTTTGCTGAACTGAACCGAGAATTTCCTCACAAGTTAGAACCTTATTCATGAAGAAAAACGAGTCAGGCCCGTAGGGGACGTATTTGGAAGCCATGGTTTTTTTTTTATTCGTTCATAATACGTTAATACCAAACGCAACTACCAGAAGACAAAACGCTTTGTTTCTTTGTCAGTAATCATACCGATGAAGTTCGTCATGCAGTTGAGCAACATAGCAGCGATCAGGATTGCAACCGTGATCTTATAGTGCAGCTTGAACACGAACGTGTCAGCTCTCGGGGAAGCACTAGGCTTCAAGTTGGACGCGACCGCGCCGAATGAGCCCAACATGTTGAAGAACACACGACCGACACTTCCCACGTATCGTCCCTGTCACCAACTCACTCAGCGAACCAGAATGACAATAAACTATACACAAATCGGGGCACTTCCACGTATCGTCAGCGTCGTCGGGAACTTCTTCGGTGCCGACTTGACACGCGACACCGCTCGAACACTGATGGCAAGAAGGGAAAGACGCATAAGTGTTACATATCTTCACTCCGCACTGTACGCAAGAGTTACACATCAGAGAATCAACCACTAGATTTTTGGATCAATTTTCGTAGCTTTCTAACTTCAGCTCGATTGAATACAGCACAGATGACACATTGAATAGTGACGATTTGCGAACAATAATTAGTACTGAGCACAGTGAGCATTAGTTTCAGAAAAGCGTTTGGTATGGTCCGGTTGGCTTTTTCAGTTTTTCGACTGCTATCTTTTCACATGGTGCTCTTTGTTAGGCGTAAATTCATTATACAGTACATGGAAAATAGTTAATTAATCATTTGTTTTGTATGTAAGTAAAATCCATTTCCACCAGCAATAACCTCAAAATTTAAGCCATACCTCATAAAACGTGAGAAGCTTTGAAATATGCGAAAGTTTGATCAGTTTGTTACTCCTGCAACACTTCAAAGAGTTACTTGATGAAACGGCCGACGCAACACTGATGGCGAAAGGCGCTCCATCGGCGGGCAAAAACCATTCCGCCTGCTTCACGCTCGGAAGAACTGACTGAAGGACAGAGAAATTGGCACACGAACAATGAAGAGCTGCGCAGATGTGAGGGGGAAAACCGAACTCAAATTCTCACTCGCACTCGCGTAGATATGAGTATCCTTCCCTCTCAAGGCAAAAACCCTTCTCTTTCACTTCGTACCCTTCCGTTCGGCTTCTCCAACAGCCATTCCCTTGTAGTACTGAACTGTACTTCCCCCCGAAGGCCATTTCACTAACATGTTCGGAAAAGAATCATATTTCGGTCCTTTCTGCGAGATGTTCGAAATGAGAGCAGTCGGAATGCGATCACTTCAGGTTTATGAAAGTCTGAGCAATGCAACTGAAGCGGATGTCGCGAGAGAAACGAGACGTTCTTCTAATTAAGCATTAATGAAGCATATAGTCAGTGAATATGACTAATCTTAATTCCAGAAACGAAATACCTGTACAGTATATATTTATTAGAGGAAAGAAACTAAGTTTTTTAGAAATCTTGGTCAAAAATGTTCCCCTAGCAGCAATATAATACCAAACTTTTGGAAACTTCGTGATAAATTATACCCGCATTTGACGCGCACCCCCTTTTTTCCTTCGCAAATTTGAGAAAAAAGGTTCGCATGGTACTCCAGTAAATACAGTCGTTTTCAAGAAACGGCCACAATTCCATTCAGTTAAACTTCTGCCCTCATGAAGAGTATTTTCCTCGTGAAGTAATTTTTGAAAAACCCGGATAATCATAGAGGTTGAAAATATGCGGACCTCCACATGAAACAAAGCAATATCACATCCAACCCTCTTATAGACACTGGTGAAAAACCGACATCCCAAAATGCTTAGAATTGTAAAAAAAAAAAAGTGAACCACAGTCAAATAATAAGTTTAACGGACTAACTTCAATACAATGATTCTTTTGCCAAGGACTCAAAGTAGAACCGATAGAAGCTCAAAATCTCCCCAACAATTTCAGAAAAATACAGGTTCGTTTTCACAGTATTTCCATTGTCGAAGTTCGCCACGTTGTGATGCACAACAAGGCGTAAACTTCAGAGAATTTAAGCACAGAATGGGTCACTAACACCCTACCCTTTTTTGGAAAAATCTTCAATGCCCACTTCATTTGCAAGAGCATCACCGAAAGATGCGGACACAATCAAGAAGTATGTGTACTATCTTTTTCGCTTCACTCCAGCACGTCCTTAACATAAATCGTTTCATCAAGCATGAACATCGAAATCCAAGCCAGCGGGCGATTGGGAACAAGTTATTTGGGGTGCTTTTTTTTTCAACTTGATGGTGTTCCAGGGTTGGTTCAAAAGTCTTGTTTGAAACTTGAAAGTAAAGTTTGACCCACGTTTTTGAATCAAAATACTGCACCACACAGGAAATGAGGAATAAATAAAACACATAGTTGAACCTAACTAGGAACCTCTCAAAGTTGGATACATCTCCATTTCATGTCCAAATTCCACAGAAAACAACTTTAAAAACCACTCTAACTAGGCTCTAGCTAGGCTTTTCCTAGCTGTCAAACCTCCACAACTCAAATTTGCTAATGGAGACCTTTTTGGCTATTATTTCATTGACACACAAGGAAGAGAAAAGCAATGAAATGTATAATGATGGACTTTAAAAGGAAGTGAAAAACTAATTGAGCAAGTGAACCCTTGACTCCAGATTTAGCATCCTGTCAACTCATTTCGGAAGAAAATTAAAGCCCAGACTATTAAAAATTAAAATATTCAATTCTTCTCCCCCCACTCAAAATGCTTGTTTTTTCGAACTTCAAGCCAAAATACGTTTGACTGCATACTTGAAGCAATCCTTCATTCATTTATACCTTCGTATACTTATTCTTCACGAAGTGAAACCCCAACTAACACCCGATTTTTCAGAACAACCTTCAAGATGAACAGACCACGAGAATATTTGACCACGGCTCTGTTTTCGTTGCAACAGCCTTTTCCCAGGTCTGGAATTCCGTCACAATTCAGTACAATTATTCTTCAATCACCGTGTTCGGATAAATCGGGGAAATTTAATAGTGTAACGTGCTGAAATTAGTGGGTTATTGAGAAGGCAGGCGAGTGAACCTCATTTCCTCAAATTGATTTGGTATACTTCCTTCACTTCAACCTCTGAAGTCTAAATGATGGTCAGCAAATTAAAAACTAGTACTGTACTGTATTCAGACGTCCACCCAAAGAAAAAATGAAGCACAAGCATCACGAAATTTCTGAAATGCCCCTGGATGGATTGCATCTCCTCAATCTCACCAGAATACAGTACAGTATATTCGAAAGGAAGTACACACTGTAGATCTACGGGATAATAACGCTTAAAGCCAAGATAAAACCGGTTTTCTGCCGTAGTCAGCGAACGTGACTGGAAAATCCGATCAGGGAACTGTGAGGAACAAACCACGAAACCGCACAGCAACAAACGCGCGCACGCACGCGGGTACCATCAGCTTCAGACCAGTACCAAGTTCTGCGCCTGAGGCACTGACTTGATACTGGTTCGCGCTGCGACACAATAATAACAAAAACAACCCGCCGCAGGGAACCTGGAGCAAACACAACTGCAACCCATGCACAGCATGGTACTGCACTTCCAAAAGATGCGCGATTCCAACTCGCTCACTGACGAACTGTACTGAGCTGTGCTCCCCAAGCGCAGATCCGACTCATGTGCAATGCATTTGCTTTGAACACTCACTTTGGTGAGAGGGAGTGGAGTTGGACTTCGGAGGGGGGGGATTTTCGAAAGAGAGGGAGACGAGCAACCATGATGAAGTACAGAACTGCACGCATTCTACAGTACAGTACGGTATTTGCTTCGCAACTGACATCCATGGGGAGGGTAAGTTACTGTGGTCTCCACACCCCCTCCCCCCCCCCAGCAACAGTTGGGCGTGTGGTGGGGGAAACCGTAGCTCCTGAAGGACTGGGTGATGGCGGGGGTATCATCACGTGTAGGCGAGTGCCAAGTTGGAAGACCAATTTTTTAGCATTAAAAATCAAATAAAAATACTGCACAGTATACGATTTTCGCATGCGTGGAGTACCTGCCTGCAGATGCTGCAATGTGATTTAGAGCACCTAATAATGAGGGTAAACTGATGCATGCACACGCCACAAAAAGTGAATATAGCAGTACAAAAGTTGAACCTATTCAAGTTAAACTTCAATGTGGCCATCAAACAAATTATGTTTGAGGGACAGGAATGTGCGTTTAAGGGAAGAAGAAGGTTCACAGGAACTTGTAATTGGCGCTATTCTAGTGTTTGAATTGCTTTTCAAATGAGTTGACATGATGCTGATCTTGGGGCAAGGGTTCCTTTTCCCAATTAGTAAAGTTGAACATTGATAAGTCATACCTCCCTAAGTCAAATTGTGTAAGTCAGATTGTTTTTAAGTCCTGTCTGTCTTCCCTTAGAAACAATTTATTAAAAATATCCTTAACTCAAAAGCTTTTCCTCTCAAAACTCCCTAATTTACTGAGGCTTGTGGCTATTGTTTTTGACACATGAAAGAGAGAAGCAATAAAACAAGTATCTTGATGTGCTTTGAAAGGAAGTGACAGACTAATTGGGTAAAGGAACAACCTCTGCCTCCAAGTTGGCATTATGTACAAAGATTTAAGAAGCAATTTAAGGGCCAGAATATCACAATTTACAGTTCAATTTTCTGCAATTCTTCCATGCTTTCCACGTAACAACAATACTGTAATGCTTTTTTCCCTACCTCAAAACCTTCCTAAATGGAAAACTCCCCAAGTTGAAACATGCCTAAGTCAAAATTTTTGGGTGGTCCCTTGAAATTTGACTATTGACTGCATTACACTTCCCTTCAAAAACATCAAGTTAAATTGCATTGCTTTTTGCTTTCCTGTGCCAATGAAATAATAGCCATAAAGTCTTCAGAAAATTTGAGTCATGAAGGTTCAAGGAAGAAAGTCTTTACATTCAGGGAGGTTTGTATTGCACTGTTCCTAAGAGAATTCCTACAGGGACTTCGACAAAGGGTGGTATTTCACTTAGGGAGATATACGTTAATGAGGTTCAACAGTATTTTTGAGAAAAATGTAGTCTGTACACATACACATAAAACTGAGCATTTTATGAGGAAAAGTAGAGAGTAAAATTCACCCAGAAAGGAACTAATGATGTACAGTATAAACCTATAAACCCCACAGGAAGAATGCAGTATTGCATTGGATTATGTGAAGTCCTTCTAGGCTAAAAAAAAAATAGTGAGACTGTGGTGTAGCCTGTACTGAAGTAAAACACTGTACTGTATCTGGAATAGGCTGCACCCACTCTCTCAGGGCTTCTTTCTAAATAAAAAGTGCTAATAATCAGCATTTTCTGTTGAACATTATTCATTGAATAAAGTCTCCCAAAAATTGTATTAAAGGTGGTAAATCACGTATGTGAGGAGAAATTCTTGGGAGTG